GGCTAAGGAGTGTGGGCGGGGATAGGGTTTGGGAGGGAGAGAAGGAAGAAGGGAAGGAGGAAGGAGGGATGAAGGAGGGAAGGAAGGAGGGGAGGAAGGAAAGGAGGGAGGGGCGGAGCTATGGGCGGGGTTAGGGGTGGGGCTAAGAAGTGTGGGCGGGGATAGGGTTAGGGTGGGAGGGAAGGAAGGAAGGAAGGAAGGAGGGAGGGAGGGAGGGAGGGAGGGAAGGAAGGAAAGAAGGAAGGAGGGATGAATGAGGGAAGGAAGGAAGGAAGGAAAGAAGGAAGGAGGGATGAAGGAGGGAAGGAAGGAAAGAAGGAAGGAGGGATGAAGGAAGGAAGGAAGGAAGGAAGGAAGGAAGGAAGGAAGAAGGAGGGAGGAAGGAGGGAGGAAGGAAGGAGGAAGGAAGGAAAGGAGGGAGGGGGCGGAGTTATGGGCCAGGTTATGGGTGGAGCTAAGAAGTGTGGGCGGAGCTAGGGTTAGGGTGGGAGGGAAGGAGGAGGGAAGGAAGGAAGGAAGGAAGGAAGGAAGAAGGAAAGAAGGAAGGATGAAGGAGGGAAGGAAGGAAAGGAGGGAGGGGGCGGAGTTATGGGCGGGGTTAGGGGTGGGGCTAAGAAGTGTGGGCGGAGCTAGGGTTAGGGAGGGAGAGAAGGAAGAAGGGAAGGAGGAAGGAGGGAAGGAAGGAGGGGAGGAAGGAAAGGAGGGAGGGGCGGAGCTATGGGCGGGGTTAGGGGTGGGGCTAAGAAGTGTGGGCGGAGCTAGGGTTAGGGTGGGAGGGAAGGAAGGAAGGAAGGAAAGGAGGAAGGAAGGAGGGAAGGAAGGAGGGAAGGAAGGAAAGGAGGGAGGGGGCGGAGCTATGGGCGGGGTTATGGGTGGAGCTAAGAAGGAAGGAAGGAGGGAAGGGAGGGAGGGAAGGAAGGAGGGAGGGAAGGAGGGAGGGAGGGAGGAAGGAAAGAAGGAAGGAGGAAGGAAGAAGGAAGGAGGGAAGGAAGGAAAGGAGGGGGCGGAGTTATGGGAGGGGTTAGGGGTGGGGCTAAGGAGTGTGGGCGGGGCTAGGGTTAGGGAGGGAGAGAAGGAAGAAGGAAGGAGGGAAGGAAGGAGGGAAGGAGAGAAGGAAGGAAAAAAAGAGAGAGCGAGAGAGGGAGAGGGAGAGAAGAAGGGAAGGAGGAGGGAGGAGGGAGGAGGAGGGAGGGAGGAGGAAGGAAGGAAGGAAGGAGGAAGGAAAGAAGGAAGGAAGGATGGAAGGAAGAAGGAGGAGGAGGAGGAGGAAGGAAGAGTGGAGGAGGAGGAGGAGGAAGAAGGAAGGAGGAGGAGGGAGGAGGAGGAGGGCAGGAAGGAAGGAAGGAAGGAGGGATGAAGGAAGGAAGGAAGGAGAGGGAGGGAGGGAGGGAAGGAAGGAGGGAAGGAAGGAAGGAAGGAAGGAGAGTGTGGGCGGAGCTAGGGTTAGGGACGGAGAGAAGGAAGAAGGGAATGGAGGGAGGGAAGGAGGGAGGGAAGGAAGGAAAGGAGGGAGGGAAGGAAGGATGGAAGGAGAGAAGGAAGGGAAAAAGAGAGAAAGATAGGGAGGGGGAGAGAGAGAAGAGCAGAGAGAGAGAGGGAAGGAAGGAAGGAGAGAGAGGGAGAGAGGAGGAAGGAAGGAAGGAAGGAAGGAAGGAGGGAGGGAGAGAGAGAAGGAAGGAAGGAAGGAAGGAAGGAAGGAAGGAAGGAAGGAAGGAAGGGGTGGACCTAAGATCTGTGGGAGGGTCTAAGGTGTGAGCTGGGGCGGGGTCTACAAGGTGTGGGCGGGGCAAACAGGCCTAGGCAGGGCTGTGGGCGGGGCCACGGGGCATGGGCGGGTCTAGGACGGGGCTACCAGTCAGTGGGAGGAGCCTCAGCCCCCTATGTCTCCGCCCCCTCCAGCCCTCCGACTCCGCCTCCTCCGCGCTCTATGGAAACTGGAGGGTCACCTGACCGAGGAGGGGCGGGGCCAACGGGGCCCCTTCCTGGAGGGGGATCACATGACCCTGGCCGACTGCCGGCTCCTCCCCAAGCTGAACATCGTGGAGGTGAGTGGCGACTTCCTTCCTTCCTTCCTTCCTTCCTTCCTTCCTTCCCTTCTTCCCTCCTTCCTTCCCTCCCTCCTTCTCTCCTCCCTCCCTCCCTTTTCCTTCCTTCCTTCACTTCTTCCTTCTTCCCTCCTTCCTTACTCCTTCCTTCCTTCCTTCCTTCCTTCCTTCCCTCATTCCTACTTTCCTTCCTTCCTTCTTTCCTTCCTCCCTTCCTTCCTTCCCTCCCTCCCTTCCCTCCCTTCTTTTTCTCCTTCCTTCCTTCCTTCCTTCTTTCCTTCCTTCCCTCCTTCCTTCCCTCCTTCATCCCTCCTTCCTTCTTTCCTTCTTTCCTTCCTTCCTTCCTTCTCTCCCTTTCCTCCCTTCTTTTTCTCCTTCCTTCCTTCCTTCCTTCCTTCCTTCCTTCATCCCTCCTTCCTTCTTTCTATCCTTTTTTCCTTCCTTCCTTCCCTCCCTCCCTCCTTCCTTCTTTCCTTCCTTCCTTCCCTCCTTCCTTCCTTCCTTCCTTCCTTCCTTCCCTCCCTCCCTCCTTCCTTCCTTCCCTCCTTCATCCCTCCTTCCTTCCTTCCTCCCTCCCTCCCTCCCTCCCTCCTTCCTTCCTTCCCTCCCTCCCTCCCTCCTTCCTTCCCTCCCTCCCTCCCTTCCTTCCCTCCCTCCCTCCCTCCGTCCCTCCCTCCATTCCCTTCTTCCTTCTCTCCGTCCCTAACCCTAGCTCCGCCCACACTCTCCTTCCTTCCCTCCTTCCTTCCCTCCCTCCTTCCTTCTTTCCTTCCTTCCTTCCTTCCTTCCCTCCCTCCCTCCCTCCCTCCCTCCTTCCTTCTTTCCTTCCTTCCCTCCTTCCTTCCTTCCCTCCTTCATCCCTCCTTCCTTCTTTCCTTCCTTCCTCCCTCCCTCCTTCCTTCCCTCCTTCCTTCCTTCCTTCCTTCCTTCCTTCCCGCCTTCCTTCCTTCCTTCCCTCCTTCATCCCTCCTTCCTTCTTTCCTTCCTTCCCTCCTTCCTTCCCGCCTTCCTTTCTTCCTTCCTTCCCTCCTTCATCCCTCCTTCCTTCTTTCCTTCCTTCCCTCCTTCATCCCTCCTTCCTTCTTTCCTTCCTTCCTTCCCTCCTTCCTTCCCTCCTTCCTTCCTTCCTTCCTTCACTCCTTCCTTCCTTCCTTCCTTCCTTCCCTCCCTCCCTCCTTCCCTCCCTCCCTTCCTTCCTTCCTTCCCTCCTTCATCCCTGCTTCCTTCCTTCTTTCCTTCCTTACTTTCTTCCTTCCTTCCATCCTTCCTTCCTTCCTTCCCTCCTTCATCCCTCCTTCCTTCTTTCCTTCCTTCCTTCCTTCCTTCCTTCCCTCCTTCATCCCTCCTTCCTCCTCCCTCCCTCCCTTTCTTCCTCCTTCCTTCCTTCCCTCCCTCCTTTCTTCTCTTCATTTCCTTCCTTCCTTCCTTCCTTACTTAATTCCCTCCCTCCTTCCTCCCTCCCTCCCTCCCTCCCTTTCCTCTCTCCTTCCTTCCTCCCTCCCTCCCTCCCTTCCTCCCTCCCTTCTCTCCTTCCTTCCTCCCTCCCTCTGTCCTTCCCTCCCTCCTTCCTCCCTCCCTCCTTCCCTCCCTCCTTCCTTCCTTCCTTCCTTCCTTCCTTCCCTCCCTCCCTCCTTCCTCCCTCCCTCCCTCCCTCCCTTCCCTCTCTCCTTCCTTCCTTCCTCCCTCCCTCCCTCCCTTCCCTCTCTCCTTCCTTCCTTCCTTCCTTCCTTCCTTCCTTCCCTCTCTCTCCCTCTCCCTCCCTCTCTCCTTCCTTCCTTCCTTCCTCTCCCTCAAACCTTCCTCTCCCTCCCTCCTCCCTCCCTCCCTCCTTCCCCCTCCCTTCTGTCCTTTCTTCCTCCCTCCCTCCTTCCTTCCTTCCTTCCTTCCTTCCTTCCTTCCTTCCTTCCCTCCCTTATTCCTTCCTTCCTTCTTTCCTTCCTTCCTTCCTTCCTTCCTTCCCTCCCTCCCTCCTTCCTTCCTTCCTTCCTTCCTTCCTTCCTTCCCTCCCTTATTCCTTCCTTCCCTCCTTCATCCCTTCTTTCCTTTCTTCCCTCCCTCCTTCCTTCCTTCCCTCCTTCCTTCCTTCCCTCCTCCCTTCCTCCCTCCCTCCTCCCTCCTCCCTTGTTTCTTCCTTCCTTCCTTCCTTCCTTCCTTCCCTCCCTCCTCCCTCCCTCCCCGCCCCCTAACCCCGCCCCCTCTAACCCCGCCCCTTCCTCCCCACAGGTCGTCTGCCGCCATTACCACCCCTTCCTTCCTTCCTTCCTTCCTCCCTTCTTTTTCTCCTTCCTTCCATCCTTCTTTCTTTCCTTCCTTCCTTCCTTCCTTCCCCCTCCTTTCCTTCCTCCTTCCTTCCTTCCTTCCTTCCTTCCTTCCCTCCTTCCCTCCTTCCTTCCTTCCCTCCCTCCTTCCTTCCCTCCTTTCCTCCTTCCTTCCTCCTTCCTTCCTTCCTTCCTTCCTTCCTTCCTTCTTTCCATCCTTCCTTCCTTCCTTCCCCCCTTCCTTCCCTCCTTCATCCCTCCTTCCTTCTTTCCTTCCTTCCCTCCTTCCTTCCTTCCTTCCTTTCCTCCCTCCCTCCCGCCTCCCTTCCTCCCTCCCTTCCTTTCTTCCTCCCTCCCTCGTTCCTTCTTCCCATCCTCCTTTTCCTTCCTTCCTTCCTTCCCTCCCTCCCTCCTTCCTTCCTTCCCTCCCTCTCTCCCTCCTTCCCTCCCTCTCTCCCTCCTTCCCTCCCTCCCTCCCTCCCTCCCTCCTTCCTTCCCTCCCTCCTTCCTTCCTTCCTTCCTTCCTTCCTTCCTTCCCTCCCTCCTTCCTTCCCTCCCTCTCTCCTTCCTTCCTTCCTTCCTTCCTTCATCCCTCCTTCCTTCCTTCCTTCCTTCCCTCCTCCCTCCCTCCTCCCTCCCTCCCCGCCCCCTAACCCCGCCCCCTCTAACCCCGCCCCTTCCTCCCCACAGGTCGTCTGCCGCCATTACCGCCCCTTCCTTCCTTCCTTCCTTCCTTCCTTCCTTCCTTCCTTCCTTCCCTCCCTCCCTCCCTCCTTCTTTCCCTCCTTCCTTCCTTCCTTCCCTCCCTCCCTCCCTCCTTCCTCTCTTCTTTTTCTCCTTCCTTCCATCCTTTTTTTCCTTCCTTCCCTCCTTCATCCCTCCTTCTTTCTTTCCTTCCTTCCCTCCTTCATCCCTCTTTCCTTCCCTCCCTCCCTCCTTCCTTCCTTCCTTCCTTCCTTCCTTCCCTCCCTCCTTCCCTCCCTTCCTCCTTCCTCCTCCCTTCTTTCCTTCCTTCCTTCCTTCCCTCCTTCCTTCCCTCCCTCCCTCCTTCCCTCCTCCCTCCCTCCCTCCCCGCCCCCTAACCCCGCCCCCTCTAACCCCGCCCCTTCCTCCCCACAGGTCGTCTGCCGCCATTACCGCCCCTTCCTTCCTTCCTTCCTTCCTTCCTTCCTTCCTTCCCTCCCTCCCTCCCTCCCTCCTTCTTTCCCTCCTTTCTTCCTTCCTTCCCTCCCTCCCTCCTTCCTTCCTTCCTTCCTTCCCTCCTTCATCCTTCCTTCCTTCCTCCTTCCTTCCTTCCTTCCTTCCTTCCTTCCCTCCTCCCTCCCTCCTTCCTCCTCCTTTCCTTCCTCCTTCATCCCTCCTTCCTTCCTTCCTTCCCTCCTTCCTTCCTTTCCTCCTTCCCTCCTTCCTCCCTCCCTCCCTCCTCCCTCCCTCCCCGCCCCCTAACCCCGCCCCCTCTAACCCCGCCCCTTCCTCCCCACAGGTCGTCTGCCGCCATTTCCGCCCCGCCCTTCTGCCCCCCGACATGTGGGGCGTACGCCGCTACCTCCAAGCCGCCCGGGGGGCCAAGGAATTCCGCTTCTCCTGCCCCACGGATCTCGAGATTCTCCAGGCCTACCGGCAAGTCGTCCGGCCCATCTAGGGGGCTGCCCCACGGCGGGCCCCACAACTCGGGGGGCTGGTGGGGCCGGTTATCCCAGTTGGGGGGCACGAGGAGGGGGTCTGGGTGGGGGATGCCATTGGTGTGGTCGGCCCCCTAACATGCGGGGCACAAGGATGGGGTGGTGGGGACTATTGGTGTGGCTGGACCCCTAACTTGGGTCCTGGGGGGACAGGGACCCTCAGTGGGGCCGGTCATCCAACCTGGGGGGCAGAAGGATGGGGTCAGGGCAGGGGATACCACTGGTGGGGCTGGACCCCCAACTTGGGGGGCAGTCCAGGATCACACGGGGTGCCCCACAACTCGGGGGGCTGGAGGATGGGGTCTGGGTGGGGGATGCCATTGGTGGGTCTGGACCCCCAACTTGGGGGTCACAAGGATGGGGTCCCAGGTTCACACGGGGTGCCCCACAACTTGGGGGGCTTGAGGACCCCTGGTGGGGCCGGTTCTCCCAGTTGGGGGGCACAAGGAGGGGGTATGCCATTGGTGGGGCTGGACCCCCAACTTGGGGGCTCAAGGCGGGGATCCCAGGATCACGTGGGGTGCCCCACAACTTGGGGGGCTCACAACTAGCAGGGGGTCTGGGCGGTTGAGATCACTGGTGGGGCAGGAGGACGGGGTCCTGGGGGGCCGGTCATCCAACTTGGGGGGTAGAAGGATGGGGTCAGGGCAGGGGATACCAATGGTGGGGCTGGACCCCCAACTTGGGGGCTCAAGGAGGGGATCCCAGGATCACACGGGGTGCCCCACAACTTGGGGGGCTCACAACTCGCAGGGGTTCCGGGCGGTGGAGAACACTGGTGGGGCTGGACCCCTAACTTGGGGGGCACAAGGATGGGGTCCCAAGGGCGGAGACACCTAGTGTGGCCAGTCCCCCAAGTTGTGGGGCACAAGGATGGGGTCCCAGGACACATGGGGTGCCCCACAAGTCGGGGGGCTGTAGGACGGGGGCCTGGTGGGGCGGAGACTCCTAGTGTGGTCGGTCCCCCAACTTGGGGGGCACAAGGATGGGGTCAGGGCAGGGGATGCCATTGGTGGGGCTGGACCCCCAACTTGGGGGCTCAAGGAGGGGATCCCAGGATCCCGTGGGGTGCCCCACAACTTGGGGGGCTTGAGGACCCCTGGTGGGGCCGGTTCTCCCAGTTGGGGGGCACAAGGAGGGGGTCTGGGTGGGGGTGCCATTGGTGGGGCTGGACCCCCAACTTGGGGGCTCAAGGAGGGGATCCCAGGATCACGTGGGGTGCCCCACAACTTGGGGGGCTCACAACCAGGAGGGGGTCTGGGCGGTGGAGATTACTGGTGGGGCTGGACCCCTAACTTGGGGGTCACAAGGATGGGGTCCCAAGGGCGGAGACACCTAGTGTGGCCGGTCCCCCAAGTTGTGGGGCACAAGGATGGGGTCCCAGGATCACATGGGGTGCCCCACAAGTCGGGGGGCTGTAGGACGGGGGCCTGGTGGGGCGGAGACTCCTAGTGTGGCCGGTCCCCCAACTTGGGGGGCACAAGGATGGGGTCAGGGCAGGGGATGCCATTGGTGGGGCTGGACCCCCAACTTGGGGGCTCAAGGAGGGATCCCAGGATCCGTGGGGTGCCCCACAACTTGGGGGCTTGAGGACCCTGGTGGGGCCGGTTCTCCCAGTTGGGGGCACAAGGAGGGGTCTGGGTGGGGGATGCCATTGGTGGGGCTGGACCCCCAACTTGGGGGCTCAAGGAGGGGATCCCAGGATCACGTGGGGTGCCCCACAACTTGGGGGGCTCACAACCAGGAGGGGGTCTGGGCGGTGGAGATTACTGGTGGGGCTGGACCCCTAACTTGGGGGTCACAAGGATGGGGTCCCAAGGGCGGAGACACCTAGTGTGGCCGGTCCCCCAAGTTGTGGGGCACAAGGATGGGGTCCCAGGGTCACATGGGGTGCCCCACAAGTCGGGGGGCTGTAGGACAGGGGCCTGGTGGGGCAGAGACTCCTAGTGTGGCCGGTCCCCCAACTTGGGGGGCACAAGGAGGGGGTCTGGGTGGGGGATACCATTGGTGTGGTCGGCCCCCTAACTTGGGGGGGTGGAGGATGGGGTGGTGGGGACTATTGGTGTGGCTGGACCCCTAACTTGGGGGGCAGGAGGATGGGGTCCTGGGGGGACAGGGACCCTCAGTGGGGCTGGTCATCCAACTTGGGGGGCAGAAGGATGGGGTCAGGGCAGGGGATACCAATGGTGGGGCTGGACCCCCAACTTGGGGGGCAGTCCAGGAGCACATGGGGTGCCCCACAACTCGGGGGGGCTGGAGAATACCACTGGTGTGGTCGGCCCCCTAACTTGGGGGGCTGGAGGATGGGGTCTGGGTGGGGGATGCCATTGGTGGGGCTGGACCCCCAACCTGGGGGCTCAAGGAGGGGATCCCAGGGTCACACGGGGTGCCCCACAACTTGGGGGGCTTGAGGACTCCTGGTGGGGGTTTCAAGGAGGGGGTCTGGGTGGGGGATGCCATGGGTGGGGCTGGACCCCCAACTTGGGGGCTCCAGGAGGGGATCCCAGGATCACGTGGGGTGCCCCACAACTTGGGGGGCTCACAACTAGCAGGGGGTCTGGGGGTGGAGATCACTGGTGGGGCTGGACCCCTAACTTGGGGGCTCAAGGCGGGGATCCCAGGATGACACGGGGTGCCCCACAACTTGGGGGGCTGGACGACAGAGACCCCTGGTGGGGCCAGTTAATATATTATATTATATTATATTATATTATATTATATTATATTATATTATATTACATTACATTACATTATATTATTATATTATATTATATTATATTTTTCGCCGATTTGGCTCTTTTTCCTTTTGCTTTTCGATGATAATTTTATTTTTCTGTAATCATTTAATAATCATGTACTTTAATACTGTAACTGAATAACTGAATTGAAGAATTGAAGAATTGAATTGAATAATTCCTGTAATAATTGAATAATCATGCACTTTAATACTTGAATAATTTTCCTGTAATCATTGAATAATCATGTTCTTTAATTTAATAATTTTACTGTAATCATTTAATAATCATGTACTTTAATACTGTAATTGAATAATTGAATTGAATAATTGAATAGAAGAATTGAAGAATTGAAGAATTGAAGAATTGAATTGAATAATTGAATAATTCCTGTAATAATATAATAATCATGTACTTTATTACTTTAATAATTTTCCTGTAATAATTGAATAATCATGTACTTTAATTGAATCATTTTCCTGTAATAATTGAATATTCATGTTCTTTAATTGAATAATTTTACTGTAATCATTTAATAATCATGTACTTTAATACTGTAATTGAATAATTAAATTGAATAATTCAATAATTGAATAATTGAATTGAATAATTGAATATTTCCTGTAATAATTGAATAATCATGTACTTTAATACTGTATTAATTTTCCTGTAATCATTTAATAATCATGTCCTTTAATTGAATAATTTTACTGTAATTATTGAATAATCATGTACTTTAATACTGTAATTGAATAATTGAATAATTGAATAGAATAATTGAATAATTCCTGTAATAATTAAATAATCATGTACTTTAATTGAATCATTTTCCTGTAATCATTTAATAATCATGTCCTTTAATTGAATAATTTTCCTGTAATCATTGAATAATCATGTGCTTTATTACTTTAATCATTTTCCTGTAATAATTTAATAATCATGTTCTTTAATTTAATAATTTTACTGTAATCATTTAATAATCATGTACTTTAATACTGTAATTGAATAATTGAATTGAATAATTGAATAATTGAATAATTGAATAATTGAATAATTCCTGTAATAATTGAATAATCATGTCCTTTAATTCTTTAATCATTTTCCTGTAATAATTGAATAATCATGTTCTTTAATTGAATCATTTTACTGTAATCATTGAATAATCATGTACTTTAATACTGTAATTGAAGAATTTAATAATTGAATAACTGAATTGAAGAATTGAAGAATTGAATTGAATAATTGAAGAATTCCTGTAATAATTGAATAATCATGTACTTTATTACTTTAATAATTTTCCTGTAATCATTGAATAATCATGTCCTTTAATACTGTAATTGAATCATTTTCGTGTAATAAATTAATAATCATGTACTTTAATTCTTTAATCATTTTCCTGTAATAATTGAATAATCATGTACTTTATTACTTTAATAATTTTCCTGTAATAATTGAATAATCATGTACTTTAATTGAATCATTTTCCTGTAATAATTGAATAATCATGTCCTTTAATTGAATAATTTTCCTGTAATCATTTAATAATCATGTACTTTATTACTTTAATAATTTTCCTTTAATAATTGAATAATCATGTACTTTAATTGAATTATTTTCCTGTAATAAATTAGTAATCATGTACTTTATTACTTTAATAATTTTCCTGTAATAATTGAATAATCATGTCCTTTAATACTGTAATTGAATCGTTTTCCTGTAATAAATTAATAATCATGTACTTTAATTCTTTAATCATTTCCCTGTAATAATTTAATAATCATGTCCTTTAATTGAATCATTTCCCTGTAATAATTGAATAATAATTTTCCCGTAATAATTGAATAATCATGTACCTGAATACTTTAATAAGTATTTAATAATAAAATAAATATGGAATAAATATGGAAATTATATGGAAATTTATTCGCGTTCCGGAGGCAAAACTCGAGGCGAAAATAAATCAGGTGTAATATGATATAATATAATTGAAATTCAGAAATAAAATTAATAATAGCAAGAATAATTAATAATAATAATAATTAAAAACACAGGGATTCAGGCGTCTTCGAAATCTACGCCGGTCGGAGTCTTCTTGCTAGGAAGGGAAATAATGATCATATTAAATTAAAATAAAATGAATAATAATATTTAATAATATGAATAAAATATCGATAATAATCTGGACTAATTAATTACCGGACGAATCCAGGAAAAAACATATAATAATTCATAATAATAATATTGATAATAATTCTAATCCAATGAAGATAAAATTAATCATCCTCATCTATAATTCATAATAATAACGATTGATAATAATGATAACAATATAACAATAAAAAATAAAATAATTGATTGGCGGCTGTCACTCTGGACTCATTAATTACCGGATGAATCCAGGAAAAAACATAATAATTCATAATAATAATATAAATAAAATAAAATAAAATAAAATAATCTTGATAATGATTCTAATCCAATGAAGATAAAATTAATAATCCTCATATATAATTCATCATCATCATAATTAATAATCCTCATATATAATTAATAATAATAATAATTAATAATCCTCATATATAATTCATAATAATAATAATTGATAATAATGATAAAACGTATAATAATTCATAATAATAATATTGATAATAATTCTAACCCAATGAAGATAAAATTAATAATCCTCATCTATAATTCATAATAATAATAATAATTGATAACAATGATAACAATATAACAATAAAAAATAAAATAATTGATTGGCGGCTGTCACTCTGGACTCATTAATTACCGGACGAATCCAGGATTAATTAGCGACTCTCCGGGGATCTTCCTCTTGCCGGATCCGGTCCTGATCCTTGCCGGATCTGGAAGCGGGAGAAGAATCCGGAATTTCCAAAGCTGGCTCCGCCCCCAAAGCCAATACTTCCTGCCCTCGTTCAGAGCTAACTTTCTGCCCTCGCCCGGAACTTCCTGCCCTCGCTCAGAGCTAACTTCCTGTCCTCGCCCGGAACTTCCTGCCCTCGCTCAGAGCTAACTTCCTGCCCTCGCCCGGAACTTCCTGCCTCGCTCAGAGCTAACTTCCTGCCCTCGCCCGGAACTTCCTGCCTCGCTCAGAGCTAACTTCCTGCCCTCGCCCGGAACTTCCTGCCCTCGCCAGAGCCAACTTCCTGCCTCGCCCGGAACTCCTGCCCTCGCTCAGAGCTAATCTCCTGCCTCGCCTGGAACTTCCTGCCTCGCTCAGAGCTAACCTCCTGCCTCGCCCGGAACTTCCTGCCTCCTCAGAGCTAACCTCCTGCCTCGCCCGGAACTTCCTGCCCTCGCTCGGAGCTAACTTCCTGCCCTCGCCTGGAACTTCCTGCCCTCGCTCAGAGCTAACTTCCTGTCCTCGCCCGGAAGTTCCTGCCCTCGCTCAGAGCTAACTTCCTGCCCTCGCCCGGAACTTCCTGCCCTCGCTCAGAGCTAACTTCCTGCCCTCGCCCGGAACTTCCTGCCCTCGCTCAGAGCTAACTTCCTGCCCTCGCCCGGAACTTCCTGCCCTCGCTCAGAGCTAACTTCCTGTCCTCGCCCGGAACTTCCTGCCCTCGATCAGAGCTAACTTCCTGCCCTCGCCCGGAACTTCCTGCCCTCGCTCAGAGCTAACTTCCTGCCCCCGCCCGGAACTTCCTGCCCTCGCTCAGAGCTAACTTCCTGTCCTCGCCCGGAACTTCCTGCCCTCGCTCAGAGCTAACTTCCTGTCCTCGCCTGGAACTTCCTGCCATCGCTCAGAACTTCCTGCCCTTGCCTAGAACTTCCTGCGCAATTTCCTGCCCTCGCCCAGAACTTCCTGCCCAACTTCCTGCCCTCGCCCAGAACTTCCTGCCCTCACTCAGAACTTCCTGCCCTCGCCCAGAACTTCCTGCCCAGAACTTCCTGCCCTCGCCCAGAGCTTCCTGCCCTCACTCAGAACTTCCTGCCCTTGCCCAGAACTTCCTGCCCAGAACTTCCTGCCCTTGCCCAGAACTTCCTGCCCTCACTCAGAACTTCCTGCCCTCGCTCAGAGCTAACTTCCGGCCCTCGCCCGGAACTTCCTGCCCTCGCTCAGAGCTAACTTCCTGCCCTCGCCCGGACATTCCTGCCCTCGTTCAGAGCTAACTTTCCTGCCCTCGCCCGGAACTTCCTGCCCTCGCTCAGAGCTAACTTCCTGGCCTCGCGCGGAACTTCCTGCCCTCGCTCAGAGCTAACTTCCTGTCCTCGCTCAGAGCTAACTTCCTGCCCTCGCTCAGAGCTAACTTCCTGCCCTCGCTCAGAGCAATCTCCTGCCTCGCCTGGAACTTCCTGCCTCGCTCAGAGCTAACTTCCTGTCCTCGCCCGGAACTCCCTGCCTCGCTCAGAGCTAACTCCCTGCCCTCGCCCGGAACTTCCTGCCCTCGCTCAGAGCTAACTTCCTGCCCTCGCTCAGAGCTAACTTCCTGTCCTCGCCCAGAACTTCCTGCCCTCGCTCAGAGCTAACTTCCTGTCCTCGCCCGGAAGTTCCTGCCCTCGCTCAGAGCTAACTTCCTGCCCTCGCCCGCAACTTCCTGCCCTCGCTCAGAGCTAACTTCCTGCCTTCGCCCGCAACTTCCTGCCCTCCCCCAGAACTTCCTGCCCTCACCTAGAACTTCCTGCGCAACTTCCTGCCCTCGCCCAGAACTTCCTGCCCTCCCCCAGAACTTCCTGCCCTCGCCTAGAACTTCCTACCCAACTTCCTGCCCTCGCCCAGAGCTTCCTGCCCAACTTCCTGCCCTCACCCAGAACTTCCTGACTCCCCCAGAACTTCCTGCCCTCGCCTAGAACTTCCTGCGCAACTTCCTGCCCTCGCCCAGAACTTCCTGCCCTCGCCCAGAGCTTCCTGCCCAACTTCCTGCCCTCGCTCAGAACTTCCTGCCCTCGCCCAGAACTTCCTGTCCTCGCCCAGAACTTCCTGCCCAGAACTTCCTGCCCTTGCCCGGAACTTCCTGCTCTCACCCAGAACTTCCTGCCCTTGCCCAGAACTTCCTGCCCTCCCCCAGAACTTCCTGCCCTCGCCTAGAACTTCCTGCCCAACTTCCTGCCCTCGCCCAGAGCTTCCTGCCCAACTTCCTGCCCTCGCCCGGAACTTCCTGCCCTCGCTCAGAGCTAACTTCCTGCCCTCGCTCAGAGCTAACTTCCTGCCCTCGCCCGGAACTTCCTGCCCTCGATCAGAGCTAACTCCAGCCCTCGCCCGGAACTTCCTGCCCTCGCGCAGAGCTAACTCTCCTGCCTCGCCTGGAACTTCCTGCCTCTCTCAGAGCTAACTTCCTGCCCTCGCCCGGAACTTCCTGCCCTCGCTCAGAGCTAACTTCCTGCCCTCGCCCGGAACTTCCTGCCCTCGCTCAGAGCTAACTTCCTGCCCTCGCTCAGAGCTAACTTCCTGCCCTCGCCCGGAACTTCCTGCCCATGCTCAGAGCTAACTTCCTGTCCTCACCCGGAACTTCCTGCCCTCCCTCAGAGCTAACTTCCTGTCCTCGCCCGGAACTTCCTGCCCTCGCTCAGTGCTAACTTCCTGTCCTCGCCCGGAATTTCCTGCCCTCGCTCAGAGCTAACTTCCTGCCCTCGCCCGGAACTTCCTGCCTCGCTCAGAGCTAATCCTCCTGCCTCGCCTCGGAACTTCCTGCCCTCGCTCAGAGCTAACTTCCTGCCCTCGCCCGGAACTTCCTGCCCTCGCTCAGAGCTAACTTCCTGCCCTCGCCCGGAAGTTCCTGCCCTCGCTCAGAGCTAACTTCCTGCCCTCGCCCGGAAGTTCCTGCCCTCGCTCAGAGCTAACTTCCTGCCCTCGCCCGGAAGTTCCTGCCCTCGCTCAGAGCTAACTTCCTGCCCTCGCCCAGAACTTCCTGTCCTTGCGCTGAACTTCCTGCCCTCGCTCAGAGCTAACTTCCTGTCCTCGCCCGGAACTTCCTGCCCTCGCTCAGAGCTAACTTCCTGCCCTCGCCTGGTACTTCCTGCCCTCGCCTGGAACTTCCTGCCCTCACCCAGAGCTTCCTGCCCAACTTCCTGCCCTTGCCCAGAGCTGCCTGCCCAGCTTCCTGCCCTCGCCCGGAACTTCCTGCCCTCGCTCAGAACTTCCTGCCCTCGCCCAGAACAACTTCCTGCCCTCGCCCAGAACTTCCTGCCCAGAACTTCCTGCTCTCGCCCGGAACTTCCTGCTCTCGCCCAGAACTTCCTGTCCTCGCCCAGAACTTCCTGCCCTTGCCCAAAACTTCCAGCACTCCCCCAGAACTTCCTGCACTCCCCCAGAACTTCCTGCCTTGCCTAGAACTTCCTGCGCAATTTCCTGCCCTCGCCCAGAACTTCCTGCCCAACTTCCTGCCCTCGCCCAGAACTTCCTGCCCAGAACTTCCTGCCCTCGCCCGGAACTTCCTGCCCTTGCCCAGAACTTCCTGCCCTCCCCCAGAACTTCCTGCCCTCCCCCAGAACTTCCTGCCCAGAACTTCCTGCCCTTGCCCAGAACTTCCTGCCCTCCCCCAGAACTTCCTGCCCTCGCCTAGAACTTCCTGCCCAACTTCCTGCCCTCGCCCAGAGCTTCCTGCCCAACTTCCTGCCCTCGCCCAGAGCTTCCTGCCCAACTTCCTGCCCTCGCCTAGAACTTCCTGCCCAACTTCCTGCCCTCGCCCAGAACTTCCTGCCCAGAACTTCCTGCCCTCGCCCAGAACTTCCTGCCCAGAACTTCCTGCCCTCGCCCGGAACTTCCTGCCCTTGCCCAGAACTTCCTGCCCTTGCCCAGAACTTCCTGCTCTCGGCCGGAACTTCCTGCTCTCGCCCGGAACTTCCTGCCCTTGCCCAGAACTTCCTGCCCTCCCCCAGAACTTCCTGCCCTCACCTAGAACTTCCTGCCCAACTTCCTGCCCTTGCCCAGAGCTTCCTGCCCAACTTCCTGCCCTCGCCCAGAACTTCCTGCCCTCCCCCAGAACATCCGGCCCGCCCCCCGAACGTCCTGCACACCCCAGAACTTCCTGCCCTTGCCTAGAACTTCCTGCCCAGAACTTCCTGCCCTCGCCCGGAACTTCCTGCTCTTCACCAGATCCTCCTGCCCTCCCCAGAACTTCCTGCCCTCCCCAGAACTTCCTGCACTCCCCCAGAACTTCCTGCCCTCGCCTAGAACTTCCTGCGCAACTTCCTGCCCTTGCCCAGAACTTCCTGCCCAACTTCCTGCCCTCGCCCAGAACTTCCTGCCCTCGCCCGGAACATCCTGCCCTCGCCCAGAACTTCCTGCCCTCGCCCGGAACTTCCTGCTCTCGCCCGGAACTTCCTGTCCTCGCCCAGAACTTCCTGCCCTTGCCCAGAACTTCCTGCCCTTGCCCACAACTTCCTGCCCAGAACTTCCTGCCCTCGCCTGGAACTTCCTTCCCTCACTCAGAACTTCCTGCCCTCACCCAGAACTTCCTGCCCTTGCCCAGAACTTCCTGCCCTTGCCCAGAACTTCCTGCCCTTGCCCAGAACTTCCTGCCCTCCCCCCGAACTTCCTGCCCTCGCCTAGAACTTCCTGCCCAACTTCCTGCCCTTGTCCAGAGCTTCCTGCCCAACTTCCTGCCCTCGCCCAGAGCTTCCTGCCCAACTTCCTGCCCTTGCCCAGAGCTTCCTGCCCAACTTCCTGCCCTCGCCCAGAGCTTCCTGCCCAACTTCCTGCCCTTGTCCAGAGCTTCCTGCCCAACTTCCTGCCCTCGCCCAGAGCTTCCTGCCCAACTTCCTGCCCTTGCCCAGAGCTTCCTGCCCACCTTCCTGCCCTCGCCTAGAACTTCCTGCCCAACTTCCTGCCCTCGCCCAGAGCTTCCTGCCCAACTTCCTGCCCTCGCCCAGAGCTTCCTGCCCAACTTCCTGCCCTTGCCCAGAGCTTCCTGCCCAACTTCCTGCCCTCGCCCAGAACTTCCTAGACACTTTGATAAATGACAAATAAATTAATAATAATAATCATAGTAATAATTTATTTGTCATTTATCAAAGCTAGACACTTTGATAAATGACAAATAAATTAATAATAATAGTAATACACACACATAATAATAATTTATTTGTCATTTATCAAAGCTAGACACTTTGATAAATGACAAATAAATCAATAATAACACATACATATAATAATAATTTATTTGTCATTTATCAAAGCTAGACACTTTGATAAATGACAAATAAATCAATAATAATAATAATAATAATAATATTCATTTGGCCACGAAATACGCCATCCCAGCCGAGTATTATATATGTATTATGTATTACTATATTATCCCGCGGGCCGCCCTCTTACCGGGCGCAAAGGGACTCCGACCCGCTTGGATGCTCCTTCCTGGGGCTCCCGATCGGCGATGGAGCGGCAGCAGAAACGGCATTTTCTGGGAGAAAAATGGGTGGATATGAAGTGGGGTGTTGGTTCCATTAGTAGTAGTAGTAATAATAATAATAATAATTGTAATAGTAATAGTAATAATGGTAATTGTAATGGTAATGGTAGTAGTAGTAGTAGTAATATTGGTAGTAATAATGGTAATTGTAATGGTAATGGTAATAGTAGTAGTAATAATAATGGTAATGGAAATGGAAATAATAATAATGGTAATGGTAATAGTAGTAGTAGTAATAATAATGGTAATGGAAATGGAAATAATAATAATGGTAATAGTAGTAGTAGTAATAGTAATAATATATATTGGTATATAATAATGGTAATTGTAATGGTAATGGTATAGTAGTAGTAGTAGTAGTAATAGTAGTAGTAGTAGTAGTAATAATAATAATAATAATGATAATAATAATATTGGTAATAATAATAATAATAATGGTAATTGTAATGGTAATGGTAATAGTAGTAGTAGTAGTAGTAATAGTAGTAGTAGTAGTAGTATACATAATATAATGATATAATATTGGTAATAATAATGGTAATTGTAATGGTAATGGTAGTAGTAGTAGTAGTAGTAATACACATAATACATAATATTGGTAGTAATAATGGTAATTGTAATGGTAATAGTAATAGTAGCAGTTGTAGTAGTAGTAGTGGTAGTACATAATGGTAATAATAATAGAAATGGAAATCGAAATTAATATAATAATAATGGTAATGGTAATAGTAGTAGTAATAGTAGTAGTAGTAGTAGTAGTAGCAGTACACACATAATGGTAATAATAATGGTAATTGTAATCGTAATGATAGTAGTAGTAGTAATACAATAATAATAGCAGCAGCAACAACAACAACATCAATATGAACAATAATAATTTTAATCCTTATAGCACACCCATCTGGATGTATGTCACATAATAATACACACAATATCAATAATACTAATTTTATTCCTTATACCCCACCCATGTGAATCGCTTTTATTATTATGATTATTATGATTATTATTAGTATTATTATTGTAATTATTCCTTACACTCCGCCCACCTGAATCCCTTCCCTATTATTATTACTATTATTATTATTATTATTATTCCTTATACCCCACCCATCTGGATGACTTTCCCAATTATTATTATTATTATTAGTAGTAGTAGTAGTAGTAGTATTACCCACCTCCCAGCTCTCGCACCCGGGCCGCCATTATTATTATTATTATTATTATTATTATTATTATTACCCACCTCCCAGCCGCCTCTCCAGCTCTCGCACCCGGGCTGCCAGGCCGAAGAGGAGATCCCGAACTCGCTCCCGGGCCCGGGAGGCGGGGTCTCGGTGGAGGTCGAAGGTCAGGGTCTCTCGGCCATCTTGGAAGGTCAGGGTGGCCTCAGTTTCCCGGACGGATAAGCGGGGCGCCTGGCTCTCGAAGGCGTCTCTGGGGAGAATAATAATAATAGTAATAATAATACTAATAATAATAATTTTGAAGGGGTCTGCGGAGAATGATAATAATATTATTATTATTATTATTATTATTATTATTATTATTATTTTGAAGGGGTCTCTGCGGAGAATGATAATAATAATAATAATAATAATAATAATAATTATATTTATAATTTCGAAGGGGTCTCTGCGGAGAATGATAATAATAATAATAATAATAATTATATTTATAATTTCAAGGGGTCTCTGCGGAGAATGATGATAATAATAATACATAATAATTTCAAGGCGTCTCTGGGGAGAATGATAATAATAATGATAATAATAATAATAATTTCAAGGCGTCTCTGGGGAGAATGATAATAACAATGATAATACATAATACATAATAATTTCAAGGCGTCTCTGGGGAGAATGATAATAATAATAATAATAATAATAATACATAATAAATTGCCATTATTTTCCACCCATCTGGCTGGATTTCCAGCTGCATTTCCACGATCTAAAGCATTATTAATAAAAATACTGACGTTATTTTGAAGGGAGCATTTAAATAGGGACCTACTTGATTTGAGAAATCCGTCGTCAGAAGAAACCGACTGCAAAGGAAGAGGGAATTTTTAGTCGGCCAGAAGTTGAATGATATAAAAATAAAAATAAAAAAGGCAAGACCAACTATCAGGGCATTAAATAATAATAATAATATTTATTAATATATATATATATATATTATTATATATATATATGTAGTTATATGTATATATATATAATATATATACATATTATTTATACATATATATTGTATTAATAATAATAACAATAACAATATATCCCAGATGGGTGGGGTAATACATAACACACAATAATAATAATAATAAGTGATAGGAATAATTTTAATCTATACCACGCCAAAAATAAGAATAATTTTATTATTTATACCCCACTAACAATCGCAATAAGGTCTTTTATACTCCACCAATAACAGCTAGAGCAATAGGAATAATTTTAATATATATTGCACCAATAATCAGAATAATTTTATTATTTATACGACACTAACAATAGCAATAATACACAATAACAACAATATTAATAGTAATACAAACAACAACATACCCCGGATGGGTAGGGTATAAATAAAATATAATAATAATTAGCGATAGGAATAATTTTAATACATACCACGCCAATAACAAGAATAATTTTATTTTTTATACCCCACTAACAATAGCAATAAGTTCTTTGTACTCACCAATAATAGCGAAAGCGATAGGAATAATTTAACTATATACTACGCCAATAATCAGAATAATTTTATTATTTATACGACACTAACAATAGCACTAATAATAATACATAATACAATAATACATAATATTAATAGTAATATAAACAACAACATACCGTGGATGGGTAGGGTATAAATAAAATATAATAATAATACATAATAACAATAATATAATACCTGGTTTGAAGCAACGTCGCTGCTCCAGGAATCGCAAGCACTGGTGACGCTGCCGATAAAGGAGAATATAGGGTTATAAAAGCAAAATAATAACACATAATAATAATACATACACATAACAATTCCCCTCTGATTAATATCGATTGGTTTGCCCTTCGTTGCTCCAACAAATCCAGAGGAGAGACAATTGCAAATCGAAATTGTTTCAAACTTTTGCAATGCTTGCAGACTATAATAATCCTATCCTATCCTATCCTATCCTATCCTTGTCTCCTATCCTATCCTCCTATCCTATCCTTGTCTCCTCTCCTCTCCTCTCCTATCCTATCCTATCCTGTCCTATCCTATCCTATCCTATCCTAGTCTCCTATCCTATCCTCCCATCCTATCCTAGTCTCCTAACCTATCCTATCCTTGTCTCCTATCCTATCCTAACCTCCTATCCTATCCTTGTCTCCTATCCTATCCTTGTCTCCTATCCTATCCTAACCTCCTATCCTATCCTTGTCTCCTATCCTATCCTCCTATCCTATCCTTGTCTCCTATCCCATCCTATCCTATCCTCCTATCCTATCCTAGTCTCCTATCCTATCCTTGTCTCCTATCCTATCCTATCTATCCTATCCTATCCTATCCTATCCTATCCTATCCTATCCTATCCTATCCTATCCTAGTCTCCTATCCTATCCTAGTCTCCTATCCTATCCTTGTCTCCTATCCTATCCTATCCTATCCTATCCTATCCTATCCTCCTATCCTATCCTAGTCTCCTATCCTATCCTTGTCTCCTATCCTATCCTCCTATCCTATCCTTGTCTCCTATCCTATCCTTGTCTCCTATCCTCCTATCCTATCCTTCTCTCCTATCCTATCCTCTTATCCTATCCTAGTCTCCTAACCTATCCTATCCTTGTCTCCTATCCTATCCTAACCTCCTATCCTATCCTTGTCTCCTATCCTATCCTCCTATCCTATCGTAATCTAGTATCCTATCCTATCCTCCTATCCTATCCTTGTCTCCTATCCTATCCTAACCTCCTATCCTATCCTTGTCTCCTATCCTATCCTCCTATCCTATCCTTGTCTCCTATCCTATCCTATCCTCCTATCCTATCCTTGTCTCCTATCCTATCCTCCTATCCTATCGTAATCCTATCCTATCCTATCCTATCCTTGTCTCCTATCCTATCCTAACCTCCTATCCTATCCTTGTCTCCTATCCTCCTATCCTATCCTTGTCTCCTATCCTATCCTTGTCTCCTATCCTATCCCTATCCTCCTATCCTATCCTTGTCTCCTCTCCTATCCTATCCTCCTATCCTATCTTAGTCTCCTCTCCTCTCCTCTCCTCTCCTATCCTATCCTATCCTATCCTATCCTATCCTCCTATCCTATCCTAGTCTCCTATCCTATCCTATCCTATCCTATCCTTGTCTCCTATCCTATCCTATCCTCCTATCCTATCCTTGTCTCCTATCCTATCCTCCTATCCTATCCTATCCTATCCTTCTATCCTATCCTTGTCTCCTATCCTACCCTTGTCTCCTATCCTACCCTTGTCTCCTATCCTATCCTTGTCTCCTATCCTATCCTCCTATCCTATCCTACCCTCCTATCCTATCCTATCCTATCCTATCCTATCCTGTCCTATCCTATCCTATCCTAGTCTCCTATCCTATCCTCCCATCCTATCCTAGTCTCCTATCCTATCCTATCCTATCCTATCCTTGTCTCCTATCCTATCCTAGTCTCCTATCCTATCCTTGTCTCCTATCCTATCCTAATCTAGTATCCTATCCTATCCTCCTATCCTATCCTTGTCTCCTCTCCAATCCTATCCTATCCTATCCTATCCTATCCTATCCTATCCTATCCTTGTCTCCTATCCTATCCTATCCTTGTCTCCTATCCTATCCTATCCTATCCTTCTATCCTATCCTAGTCTCCTATCCTAGTCTCCTATCCTATCCTATCCTATCCTATCCTATCCTATCCTATCCTTGTCTCCTATCCTATCCTATCCTTGTCTCCTATCCTATCCTATCCTTGTCTCCTATCCTATCCTATCCTCCTATCCTATCCTTGTCTCCTATCCTATCCTATCCTATCCTATCCTATCCTATCCTATCCTATCCTATCCTTGTCTCCTATTCTATCCTAGTCTCCTATCCTATCCTATCCTTGTCTCCTATCCTATCCTATCCTATCCTATCCTATCCTATCCTATCCTATCCTTGTCTCCTATTCTATCCTATCCTTCTATCCTATCCTTGTCTCCTATCCTATCCTATCCTTCTATCCTATCCTTGTCTCCTATCCTATCCTTGTCTCCTATCCTATCCTTCTATCCTATCCTTGTCTCCTATCCTATCCTTGTCTCCTATCCTATCCTTGTCTCCTATCCTATCCTATCCTATCCTCCTATCCTATCCTTTTTTCCTATCCTTCCATCCTATTCTATCCTATCCTATCCTATCCTATCCTATCCTATCCTATCCTTGTCTCCTATCCTATCCTCCTATCCTATCCTTGTCTCCTATCCTATCCTATCCTATCCTATCCTATCCTATCCTATCCTATCCTATCCTTGTCTCCTATCCTATCCTAGTCTCCTATCCTATCCTATCCTTCTATCCTATCCTTTTCTCCTATCCTCTTATCCTATCCTATCCTTGTCTCCTATCCTATCCTATCCTATCCTATCCTATCCTATCCTATCCTTGTCTCCTATCCTATCCTAGTCTCCTATCCTATCCTATCCTATCCTTCTATCCTATCCTTGTCTCCTATGCTATCCTCCTATCCTATCCTTGTCTCCTATCCTATCCTTGTCTCCTATCCTATCCTCTTATCCTATCCTAGTCTCCTATCCTAACCTCCTATCCTATCCTTGTCTCCTATCCTATCCTATCCTATCCTATCCTCCTATCCTAGTCTCCTATCCTATCCTTGTCTCCTATCCTATCCTAATCTAGTATCCTATCCTATCCTCCTATCCTATCCTTGTCTCCTCTCCTCTCCTCTCCTCTCCTATCCTATCCTATCCTTGTCTCCTATCCTATCCTAATCTAGTATCCTATCCTATCCTCCTATCCTATCCTTGTCTCCTATCCTATCCTTTTCTCCTATCCTCTTATCCTATCCTATCCTTGTCTCCTATCCTATCCTTCTATCCTATCCTTGTCTCCTATCCTATCCTATCCTATCCTATCCTATCCTATCCTATCCTATCCTATCCTTGTCTCCTCTCCTCTCCTATCCTACCATTGTCTCCTATCCTATCCTTGTCTCCTATCCTATCCTTGTCTCCTATCATATCCTCCTATCCTATCCTTGTCTCCTATCCTATCCTAGTCTCCTATCCTATCCTATCCTATCCTATCCTATCCTTGTCTCCTATCCTATCCTACCCTTCTATCCTTTTCTCCTATCCTATCCTATCCTTGTCTCTTATCCTATCCTATCCTAGTCTCCTATCCTATCCTATCCTATCCTATCCTAGTCTCCTATCCTATCCTATCCTATCCTATCCTAGTCTCCTATCCTATCCTCCTATCCTATCCTATCCTAGTCTCCTATCCTATCCTATCCTAGTCTCCTATCCTATCCTATCCTAGTCTCCTATCCTATCCTATCCTTGTCTCCTATCCTATCCTATCCTATCCGGAAAATCAAAATAATGTGGAAAATAAAACTTCATGCAACCGTTGCTTCTTCTTGCAAACAGCAAAGCGTCTGCAAATGCAAAGAATAAAATTTCACGGCTGCAATAATCGCCAATTGCAAGCAGCCGGAAGTTTGCAAATGCGGAGAATAAAATTTCCGATTGCAAGCGTCGCTTTTTAAGGCAAACGGCCGGAAGGTTTGCAAACATGCGGAATAAAATCCCGCGAAGCGGCGATTGCAAGCCTTGCTTTTTATCGCAAACGGCGGAAGGTTTGCAAATAAGTAATTTCGTTGTCCCCGAAGGGGGCAATGACAATAAAGATATTATTATTATTATTATTATTATTATTAAATGCAGAAAAATCCAATTTCGTGCAACAAATGCTGCAATAATCTCCGATTGCAACTGTTTCTTCTTCATGCAAACGGCGGGAAACGTGCAAAAGCGTCGAATAAAATGATTTGCAATGGGAACTGCCGTTATCTCCCATTGCAAGTGTCGCTTTTGATTGCAAAGAGCGGAAGGTTTGCAAATGCGGAGAATAAAATTTCGTGCCATGATTTCCGATTGCGCCACTTCTTCTTGCAAACAGCAGAAAGTTTGGAAAAGCATAGAATAAAATTATTCCCAATGGGGGCTGCAATTCTTTCCGATTGCAACTCTTGCTTCTGAATGCAAACAGCAGAAAACGTGCAAAAGCGGAAAATAAAATTACTTGCAATGGGAACTGCAATTATTTCCAATTGCAAAAGTCGCTTCTGAATGCAAACAGCAGAAAGTTTGCAAATGTGGAAAATAAAATTTCATGCAACTGTTGCTTCTTCTTGCAAACAGCAAATAAATTATTCTTAAATTATTATGATTCTTAAATAAATCATTATTTTTATGGCAAATAAATTCTTCTTAAATTATTACGATGCTTAAATAAATTATTATTTTTATTGCAAATAAACTTTCATGCAAGTTGGACGGCAAGGATTTCAAATTGCAACTGTCCTTTTTATTGCAAACAGCAGAAAGTTTGCAAAAGCAGAAAATAAAATTACTTGCAACAGGAACTGCAATAATTTCCAATTGCAACTCTTGCTTCTTCTTGCAAACAGCAGAAAGTTTGCAAATGTGGAAAATAAAATTTCATGCGACTGTTGCTTCTTCTTGCAAACAGCAAATAAATTATTCTTAAATTATGATGATTCTTAAATAAATTATTATTTTTATGGCAAATAAATTATTCTTAAATTATTATGATTCTTAAATAAATTATTATTTTTATTGCAAATAAACTTTCATGCAAGTTGGACGGCAAGAATTTCAAATTGCAACTGTCCTTTTTGATTGCAAACAGCAGAAAGTTTGCAAAAGCAGAAAATAAAATTATTCGCAATGGTGGCTGCAATAATTTCCGATTGCAAGAGTTGCTTTTTATTGCAAAGAGCAGAACGTTTGCAAATGTGGAAAATAAAATTCTGTGCAACAGAATTGTAACCGCCGCTTCTTATTGCCAACTGCAAATAAATTATTCTTAAATTCTTATTCTTATTCTTAAATAAATTATTATTTTTATTGCAAATAAACTTTCATGCAAGTTGGACGGCAAGGATTTCAAATTGCAACTGGCCTTTTGATTGCAAAGAGCAGAAAGTTTGCAAAAGCATAGAATAAAATTATTTGCAATGGGAACTGCCGTTATCTCCCATTGCAAGTCTCGCTTTTTATTGCAAAGAGCAGAAAGTTTGCAAATGCGCAGAATAAAATTCCGCGAAGCGGCGATTGCAAGCCTTGCTTCTTATTGCAGACAGCAGAAAGTTTGCAAATGCAGAGAATAAAACCGTGGCTGCAATAATCTCCAATTGCAAAGGAGGAAAAGGAATCGCTGGTCTAACAAACTGAATTAGAATACAAAAGAGGGAGGTATGAGGAGGTCCGGGAAACAAATAAATGTAAAAGAAGCGATAAAAAAAGATGGAATTGTTTCTAACTGTTTTTTCTTTTTTGTACTTTGTACTTTAACTGTTTTTTTCTTTTTTGTACTTTGTATTTTGTATTTTTTCTTTGTATTGCTAAATGTCTTTTTCATGTGAGCTTTTTCTTTTGAAATTTTAATAAATATCATTGGGAAAAAAGAATAATCTCCAATTGCAAGCAATCCTTCTGAATGCAAACACCAGAAAACGTGCAAAAGCGTAGAATAAAATTATTTGATCCGGGAAATAAGTAAATGTAAAAGTTATGATGAAAAGATGGAATTGTTTTTAACTGTTCTTTCTTTCTTTTTCTTTTGTATTTTGTATGGGATTTGTGCGGTGTATTTCTCTTTTTATTTTTAAATTTCTTTCTTTTTATTAAGATGTCTCTTTTTATGTGAAACTTCAATAAATATCATTTAAAAAAAAATAGAATAAAATTATTTGGAATGGAGACTGGCCATTGCAACTGCTGCTTCTCATTGCAAACAGCAGAAAATGTGCAGAAGCAGAGGATAAAATGATTTGCAATGGGGACTACAATAATTTGCAATGACAAGCTTTGCTTTTTCTTGCAAACAGCGGAAGGTTTGCAAATGCGGAGAATAAAATTTTGTGCAATGATTTCCAATTGCGTCCCATCTTATTGCAAAGAGCAGAAAGTTTGCAAATGCGGGAAAGAAAAGGATTTGCAATGGGAACTGCAATAATCTCGAATTGTAACCACCGCTTCTTATTGCAAACTGCAAATAAATTACTCTTAAATTATTCTTCTTCTTCTTAAATAAATTATTATTTTTATTGCAAATAAACTTTCATGCAAGTTGGACGGCAAGGATTTCAAATTGCAACTGTCCTTTTGATTGCAAAGAGCAGAATTTTTGCAAAAGCGGAAAATAAAATTATTTGCAATGGTGGCTGCAATAATTTCCGATTGCAACCGTTGCTTTTATTGCAAAGAGCAGAAAGTTTGCAAATGTGGAAAATAAAATTCTGTGCAACAGAAGTGTAACCGCCGCTTCTTATTGCAAACTGCAAATAAATTATTCTTAAATTATTCTTCTTCTTAAATAAATTATTATTTTTATTGCAAATAAACTTTCATGCAAGTTGGACGGCAAGAATTCCAAATTGCAACTGTCCTTTTGAATGCAAAGAGCAGAAAATGTGCAAAAGCGGAAAATAAAATTACTTGCAATGGGAACTGCAATAATCTCCAATTGCAACTCTTGCTTCTGAATGCAAACAGCAGAAAACGTGCAAAAGCGGAAAATAAAATTACTTGCAATGGGAACTGCAATTATTTCCAATTGCAAAAGTCGCTTCTTAATGCAAACAGCGAAAGATTTGCAAATGCGCAGAATAAAATTATTTGCAATGGGAACTGCAATTATTTCCACTTGCAACTCTTGCTTCTGAATGCAAACAGCAGAAAATGTGCAAAGCGGAAAATAAAATTATTTGCAATGGGAACTGCAATTATTTCCGATTGCAACTCTTGCTTCTTAATGCAAACAGCAGGAAACGTGCAAAAGCGGAAAATAAAATTTAATGCAACAACGGCTGCAATAATTTCCGATTGCAAGAGTTGCTTTTTATTGCAAACAGCAGAACGCTTGCAAATGCGGGAAATAAAATTTCATGCAATGGTGGCAATCATTGCAAACAGCAGGAAGTGTTGAAATACGGAGAATAAATTTTGGTGCAAAAGTGGCTGCAAGAATCTCCCATTGCAACTCTGGCTTCTTCATGCAAACAGCGGGAAATGTGCAAAAGCGTAGAATAAAATTCTTTGCAATGTGTACAGAAATTGCAACTGTTGCTTCTTCTTGCAAACAGCAGAAAATGTGCAAAAGCAGAAGATAAAATAAAAATAAGATAAAATAAAATAAAATAAAAGCAGAGAATAAAATCATTTGCAGTGGAAACTGCAAGAATCTCCAATTGCAACTCTTGCTTCTGAATGCAAACAGCAGGAAACGTGCAAAAGCGGAAAATAAAATTATTTGCAATGGGAGCTGCAATAATCTCCAATTGCAACTGTTGCTTCTTATTGCAAACAGCAGCAAAAGGTGCAAAAGCGTCGAATAAAATTATTTGCAATGTTCTACAGAAATGGCAACTGTTGCTTCTTATTGCAAACAGCAGAAAATGTGCAAAAGCAGAAGATAAAATAAAATAAAATAAAATAAAATAAAATAAAATAAGCAGAGAATAAAATCATTTGCAATGTGTACAGAAATTGCAACTGTTGCTTCTTATTGCAAACGGCGGAAGATGTGCAAAAGCAGAAGATAAAATAAAAATAAAATAAAATAAAATAAAAGCAGAGAATAAAATCATTTGCAGTGGAAACTGCAAGAATCTCCAATTGCAACTGTTGCTTCTGAATGCAAACAGCAGAAAACGTGCAAAAGCGGAAAATAAAATTACTTGCAACGGGAACTGCAATTATTTCCAATTGCAAAAGTCGCTTCTTAATGCAAACAGCGAAAGATTTGCAAATGCTCAGAATAAAATTATTTGCAATGGGAACTGCAATTATTTCCGATTGCAACTCTTGCTTATTAATGCAAACAGCAGGAAAAGTGCAAAAGCGGAAAAAAAAATTTAATGCAACAACGGCTGCAATAATTTCCGATTGCAAGAGTTGCTTTTATTGCAAACAGCAGAACGCTTGCAAATGTGGAAATAAAATTTCATGCAATGGTGGCAATCATTGCAAACAGCAGGAAGTGTTGAAATACGGAGAATAAATTTTGGTGCAAAAGTGGCTGCAAGAATCTCCCATTGCAACTCTGGCTTCTTCATGCAAACAGCGGGAAATGTGCAAAAGCGGAAAATAAAATTACTTGCAATGTGTACAGAAATTGCAACTGTTGCTTCTTATTGCAAACAGCAGCAAAATGTGCAAAAGCAGTGGAGAAAATAAAAATAAAACAAAATAAAAGCAGAGAATACAATTGTTTTCAGTGGGGACCGGAAGTTTGCAAAGCCGGAAGTTTGCAAAACTGCAAAAGGCAGCCAATTTGCAAAGGGATCTGGGGATCTGCTAGATCCCAACTCACTGGAATCGGATGGATCCTTCGTCGCTTTTGCTGCAAAAGCAGAGGTAATCCTCTCCGTCTTGCACCAAGCGGACGACTCCGGTTCCTTCCATGCAAACGTCTCCCTGGTTGCAATCAAAAGGAAGACTACCACTCCCAGAATCCTTTGCTCCAGCCGCAAGGGCTGCTGGGAGTTTTGCACAGAGCGGCCGGCAGGGGGAGCCGGGAGATTGCAATGGGATTTCTGCTGCTTTTCCTTGCAAAAAAGAGGTTGCAAAGGGGGAATCCAATTGGCAAAAGGTTGCAATATATTTATTTATTATATTATACTAAATATTATATTATAATAATATAATATAATATAATATAATATAATATAATATAATATAATATAATATAATATAATATAATATAATATAATATAATATAATATAATATAATATAATATATTATAATATAATATAATATAATATAATATAATCATAAATATTATATTATAATATCATATGGAATTTCTGCTGCTTTTCCTTGCAAAAAAGAGGTTGCAAAGGGGGAATCCAATTGGCAAAAGGTTGCAATATATTTATTTATTATATTATACTAAATATTATATTATAATAATATAAGATAATATAATATAAGATAAGATAAGATAAGATAAGATAATATAATATAGTAATATAATTAATATAATAATATAATATAATATAATCATAAATATTATTATATATTTCCGTGCAAAAATCAAGGAAGTTGCAAATGTGCGGAAGGAGATTTTGCAAATGCGGAAAATCCCATTTCATGCATTAATTTCGTCTCGTTGCAAATGGAGTTTGCAATATCTGAAGGGAATTTGGCAAATGCGGAAAATCCCATTTCATGCATTGATTTCCTCTCCTTGCAAATTTCCGTGCAAAAATCAAGGAAGTTGCAAATGTGCGGAAGGGGATTTTGCAAATGCGGAAAATCCCATTGCATGCATTGATTTCTTCTCCTTGCAAATGGAGTTTGCAATATCTGAAGGGAATTTGGCAAATGCGGAAAATCCAACTGCATGCATGGATTTCCTCTCCTTGCAAATTTCCGTGCAAAAATCAAGGAAGTTGCAAATGGGCGGAGGGAGATTTTGCAAATGCGGAAAATTTTGCAAATGCAGAAAATCCCATTTCATGCCTTGATTTCTTCTCCTTGCAAATGGAGTTTGCAAGATCTGAATATTCTGATTTCTGGTCGGATTATTTGCATTTTTGGGAAGCCGCTTGCAAGACTGCAACTCCCAGAATCCTTTGCTCTGGCCTTTGCAAGGGCTGCTGGGAGATTTGCAGCTGGAATTTGCTTTTCCTTGCAAAAAAATGTGTGGAAGGAGCACAAGTTGCAAAAGGTTGCAGTTGCTTTACTGTTGCTTTTCTTGCATTTTCTGGCTTTTCTATACATTTCTTATGTATCTATCAATCAATCACGGCAATTGCAAATGTGCGGAAGGGAATTTTGCAAATGTGGAAAATCCAATTGCATGCATTGATTTCTTCTCCTTGCAAATTTCCTGGCAAAAATCACGGCAATTGCAAATGTGCGGAAGGAGATTTTGCAAATGCTGTAAATCCCATTTCATGCCTTGATTTCTTCTCCTTGCAAATTTCCGTGCCAAAATCAAGGAAGTTGCAAATGTGCGGAAGGAGATTTTGCAAATGCGGAAAATCCAACTGCATGCATTGATTTCTTCTCGTTGCAAATGGAGTTTGCAATATCTAAAGGGAATTTTGCAAAGGCGGAAAATCCAACTGCATGCATTGATTTCTTCTCCTTGCAAATTTCCGTGCAAAAATCAAGGAAGTTGCAAATGTGCGGAAGGAGATTTTGCAAATGCGGGGAATAAAATTGCATGCATTGATTTCTTCTCCTTGCAAATTTCTGTGCGAAAATCAAGGAAGTTGCAAATGGGCGGAAGGAGATTTTGCAAATGCGGAAAATCCCATTTCATGCCTTGATTTCTTCTCCTTGCAAATGGAGTTTGCAATATCTGAAGGGAATTTGGCAAATGCGGAAAATCCAATTGCATCCATTGATTTCTCCTTGCAAATTTCCTGGCAAAAATCAAGGAAGTTGCAAATGTGCGGAAGGAGATTTTGCAAATGCGGGAAATAAAATTTAATGCATTGATTTCTTCTCCTTGCAAATGGAGTTTGCAATATCTGAATATTCTGATTTCTGGTCGGATTATTTGCAATGGAATTTCTGCTGCTTTTCCTCGCAAAAAGACGTTGCAAATGTGAGGCAGGAGATTTTGCAAATGCGGAAAATCCCATTTCATGCCTTGATTTCTTCTCCTTGCAAATGGAGTTTGCAATATCTGAATATTCTGATTTCTGGTCGGATTATTTGCAATGGAATTTCTGCTGCTTTTCCTCGCAAAAAGACGTTGCAAATGTGTAGGAGGAGATTTTGCAAATGCGGAAAATTCCATTTCATGCCTGGATTTCTTCTCCTTGCAAATGGAGTTTGCAAGATCTGAATATTCTGATTTCTGGTCGGATTATTTGCAATGGAATTTCTGCTGCTTTTCCTCGCAAAAAGACGTTGCAAATGTGTAGGAGGAGATTTTGGAAATGCGGAAAATCCCATTTCATGCCTTGATTTCTTCTCCTTGCAAATTTCCGTGCAAAAATCAAGGAAGTTGCAAATGGGCGGAAGGAGATTTTGCAAATGCAGAAAATTTTGCAAATGCAGAAAATCCCATTTCATGCCTGGATTTCTTCTCCTTGCAAATGGAGTTTGCAAGATCTGAATATTCTGATTTCTGGTCGGATTATTTGCGTTTTTGGAAGCCGCTTGCAAGACCGCAACTCCCAGAATCCTTTGCTCTGGCCTTTGCAAGGGCTGCTGGGAGTTTTTACTGCTGCTTTTCTTGCATTTTCTGGCTTTTCTATACATTTCTTATGTACCTATCAATCAATCAATCAATCAATCAATAGACGTATCTATCTATCTAATATATATGTGTTTATGTAAGTAGGTTTCTATATAGTTCTTATCTATCAATCAATCAATCAATCAATCTATAGACGTATCTATCTATCTAATATATATGTATTTATGTAAGTAGGTTTCTATATAGTTCTTATCTATCAATCAATCAATCAATCTATAGACGTATCTATCTATCTAATATATATGTAAGTAGGTTTCTATATAGTTCTTATGTATCAATCAATCAATCAATCAATCAATCGACGTATCTATCTATCTAATATATATGTAAGTAGGTTTCTATATAGTTCTTATGTATCTATCTATCAATCAATCAATCAATCAATCAATCTATAGACGTCTCTATCTATCTAATATATATGTATGTATTTATGTAGGTTTCTATATAGTTCTTATGTATCTATCAATCAATCAATCAATCAATCAATCTATAGACATATCTATCTATCTAATATATATGTAAGTAGGTTTCTATATAGTTCTTATGTATCAATCAATCAATCAATCTATAGACGTATCTACCTATCTAATATATATGTATGTATTTATGGAAGTAGGTTTCTATATAGTTCTTATGTATCAATCAATCAATCAATCAATTGACGTATCTATCTATCTAATATATATGTATGTATTTATGTAGGTTTCTATATAGTTCTTATGTATCAATCAATCAATCAATCAATCAATCTATAGACGTATCTATCTATCTATCTAATATATATGTATGTATTTATGGAAGTAGGTTTCTATATAGTTCTTATGTATCAATCAATCAATCAATCAATCAATCTATAGACGTATCTATCTATCTAATATATATGTATGTATTTATGTAAGTAGGTTTCTATATAGTTCTTATGTATCAATCAATCAATCAATCAATCAATCGACGTATCTATCTATCTAATATATATGTATGTATTTATGTAAGTCGGTTTCTATATAGTTCTTATGTATCAATCAATCAATCTGTATCTATCTATCTAATATATATGTATGTATTTATGTAAGCCGGTTTCTATATAGTTCTTATGTATGTATCTATCAATCAATCAATCAATCAATCTATAGACGTATCTATCTATCTAATATATATGTATGTATTTATGTAAGTCGGTTTCTATATAGTTCTTATCTATCAATCAATCAATCAATCAATCTATAGACGTCTCTATCTATCTAATATATATGTATGTATTTATGTAAGTAGGTTTCTATATAGTTCTTATCTATCAATCAATCAATCAATCAATCTATAGACGTCTCTATCTATCTATCTCTATCTAGTATATATGTATTTATGTAGGTAGGTAGGTAGGAATCTATAGATTTCTTATCTATTTATCAATCTATAGACGTATCTATCTATCTATCTATCTATCTATCTATCTCTATCTATCTATCTCTATCTAGTATATATGTATTTATGTAGGTAGGTAGGAACCTATAGATTTCTTATCTATCTATTTATCAATCTATAGACGTATCTATCTATCTATCTCTATCTAATATATATGTATTTATGTAGGTAGGTAGCAATCTATAGATTTCTTATCTATCTATTTATCAATCAATCAATCAATCAATCTATAGACGTATCTATCTATCTCTATCTAGTATATATGTATTTATGTAGGTAGGTAGGAATCTATAGATTTCTTATCTATCTATTTATCAATCTATAGAAGTATCTATCTATCTCTATCATCTATCTAGTATATATGTATTTATGTAGGTAGGTAGGAATCTATAGATTTCTTATCTATCTATTTATCAATCAATCTATAGACGTATCTATCTATCTATCTCTATCTAGTATATATGTATTTATGTAGGTAGGTAGGAATCTATAGATTTCTTATCTATCTATTTATCAATCTATAGACGTATCTATCTATCTATCTATCTATCTCTATCTAGTATATATGTATTTATGTAGGTAGGTAGGAATCTATAGATTTCTTATCTATCTATTTATCAATCAATCAATCAATCAATCTATAGACGTATCTATCTATCTATCTATCTATCTCTCTATCATCATCTATCATCTATCTCTCTATCTAGTATATATGTATTTATGTAGGTAGGTAGGTATCTATATATTTATTATCTATCTATC